AAAATCTGTGATTGTAAATGTAATTGAGAATATGGATGCAAAAATACTTTTAACCAAACGACATGCTGTATGTAATGGATGAGAATTTTTGTATGTTTTTTTAAATAAAAAATAAAAAAAATTGCAAAAAAAAAAGAATATCTCAGAAACCCCCAAAAGACTACACAACCACATGAAACCAGCACAGTACACAAGCCAACCAAAGCCCTCAAAATATCTTAAGCAGACCAAAAGTCCCAAGAACCCCAGAAGAAAAAACAGGAGTCATCTACAAAACACAATGTAAGGTCTGCAACAACCACTATGCTGGACAAACATGCAGAAGACTGGCAGAATACATCAACGAGCACCAACTAGCGGTCAGAAAACATGAGAAAAATTCTTTAATTTCACAATATATAGACAGATTTAATATAGTTTCAATTGGAAAAATGTGACCATCCTAGATCAGGTCAAGTCCAAAAATGCCAAGGAATTTCTAGAAGTCTGGCACTGAAAATCAGTCCTCAATAGACACATAGACGTCGGTCGACAACAACTATAGACTATGCAAAAGAGGCTAACATCCAGAACAAAAAGACCCAAGCACCTTTTCACCAGCACTCAGCACCCAGATCAGCATAGTTTACTCCAAGGTTAACATCAGGCCAGCAATCAAGTAAACAATACCCCAATCAAGAAACCCCAACCAACACTGACAGGCAAGCCACTAGAATATAAATTGACAGCAAACCACACTCCTTACTAGCACTGATGGTGTTACCTAGTTTGGGTAATGAAATGTCTGCAAAAAAAACCCCAAGCAAGCTCAGGGAGCACCAGGGACCTCTCATAATCTACTTAATTTCATAATTCTGTATCCAGTTTTACAACACAAATAGAAAACTTCATCCTTATGTAAACAATATAACATGGTCACAGACCTATGTTTCAGTATTGCAAACACATTGTCCTTCACAATATCTAGAAGACACAATGGCCCAATGGCCCAAATACACAAGATAAATGCAAGGGAGAGTCAGGTTTCTGAATGGAAATTCTTCTCAAGTAATTATCTTTCAAATTGTGAGATCATCACATATTCTACAGTATATGATGTGTAGTAAGCCATCCTGAGTCTTACTATGGGAAGATGATATTAATTGCTGTATAAATAAATAATATATTCATAGGTGCAATTTAAAGGGACACTTTGCTGTCTTTTTTCCCTTTAAATATTACAAAATGTCATTGAAAATTAGATTGTCCTTTAACCATGTTTATAATGCCTAAACAAAGCCTTTCTTAGTTTTTTTTTGTATTTGTATATATGCAATTGGAAAATAAACTAATTTTTAAGTAAAAACAAGATAGCAAATTTTAACAAACAATATTGATCAATATTTAGCCATGCCATTAATAAATATTTTTCCCTATCCTGATTAGTTTTCTACCATGCATTTTGGCCAGAATGTAGGTAGGTTGATAGGTATAAAGATGATAGATGGATGGATTGGATGGGATGGGATGGGATAGATTTACCTATGTTTCTTTATACTCTTGGATGCAAGGAATAGAAATTATAGCCAACCTTAGGATTTCCCATTTGTACCCCATCAAGAAATGCTTTTATTCAGACACTTATCTTTAGGGAGAAACCCACAAAAAACTTTGTTCCTTGATCTAGTACCTAGATATAGCAGCAGAATCAATCACAAAGCTTGCCTATGCTCAGAGATGGTATTCAGCAGGTTCTGACAAATTCTGGAGAACTGGTAGCAGAAATTTTGAGTAGTTCGGAAAACTGGTAAATAGTATTGGCCCCACTCCCATCTATTCTCTGCCTCCCAAGTCTGAGCTGATTGGGAGGGAATGGAGATTTTGCAGTAACCTTCCCCTGGTGTGGGGGGGGGATGGCAATTTTACAGTATCCTTCCCCTGCCATGCCCACCAAGCCATGCCCACAGAACTGGTAGTAAAAAAAATTGAATCCTACCACTGCCTATGCTGCTGAAATCAGTAACTTGCTAGTCAAAAAGAAGTAATGTGCAGTATTATTTGCATTACAATTATCTGGTTTGAACCATTCAAATTCAATATAGTTTTCAGTTTCAATTATCTTCCTGTTTTTTAGATGTACTGGTACCCCAAGCTTTTTTTTAAAAAAAATTCAAGATTGTAGAGATAAAGAATATGTAGCAGAAACAAGTTTTTTCTGAACAGGATCTGCTTGTTTGCAGATTTATTACCTAGCAATGGTGCAAAGCTACCGGTAGGAAGGAATTGATTTGCAGACCTGAGATACGCAGCCACCCCTCTGGCTAAGCAATTCACAATGTCACAGTGTTGATAGCTGCCCTTTTCTGCTATTTACATTCTTATTCTTGTTTTCACTCATCCAAATAGTTCTGGTGTTTTTTTAATTGTCCATACAAATGAAATTGTATCACAAATAAGTTGCTAATCATTAGAAATTTCCCTCCTTTCTTTCCTTTGTTCATTTATTTAATTAAAGTACTTTGATGGGGGGCTGGGGGCACTGGGGGGAACTGATTAATACAATTACTAGGTTTCACCTATGAGAATATGAAGTAATTCAGTAGCTGTCCTTGACATCGTTACCAGTTAACTAGGCTGTTCTGTATTCATCTATTGTAAAGTTCACTGAAATATGTTATTAGTAACTGTGCCATGAACTTCATAATGTTAAAGAAAAAAATAGACTGAAAAAAAAATTCTGTCTAATTAATTTAGTCATAAGGTCCAGGATTAACCTGAATTTTGTTTATCTTACTTTCTCAACAATGCACAAAAATAACAATCTTAATTAGAATATATATTTAGGGTAATTTTTACTTAGTATATTTTTGAGCTGTGGCTCTTATGTGTTGATTTTAAAATGCATGCAATTTTTCCCTTGTAGCATTGTTTTAATGAAAATGTTGCTACCTACCAAATGTCTTACCTCTATCGGGTAACCCAATGTCAGTACTTAAATAATAATGTAAGAATTTTGAGTATTTTTCCCCACTTTTTTCATTACAGGTTTGTTTGTAATGTAGGCCTTGTCAGATCCAAGTGCAAAAATCGAGATGAACCCTAGATGGTAGCATTCAGTCCTTGAGCCTCTATCTGCATACAGTATTATATATGCCATGCAAATGATCCAACATATTTATTAAATGTTCTTTCTCTTAATTTCCATTTACATGCCCATGAGTTGATTCCTTAGTGCTTGACAGCTCTCATTCATAAAAGTTGAGTTTGTACATTTGAAAAGATACAGTAGTTTTAGATGCTGAGGATGGTGTTAGCTCCAAAATGCGCAAGCTGCAAAGAACCATTTAAACTTACAATCTTATAACCTAAGACAGTATTAATCATATCTGCTATATACTTTGTTTCCCCCAAAATAGGAAAGGGTCTTATTTTCTTTTGACCCCCGAAATAAGCGCCTGGCCTTATTTTCGGGATGATCTTATTATTTTTGAGGTGCAGGAGAAGAT